TCTTTCTTTTTCTCCAAATGCATTATTATTAATTTGGCATAGAAATAGGGAGATATATTTTGGCATAATCCACTAGAACCCATTCATATCTTATAGTCAAAGAGCTATAGATATGCTTTGAGAGAGAGAAAGAGATTGGACAGGCAGCCACTAACACCAACCAAACAAAAAAAAGCAAAAACAAAAACAAAAATTAAAAATCTTTTTTTTGAAGCATGGTTAAACCAATTTGCAAAAGGTGAAAAAGGGTATCTTCCTATAAACAAAGAGCATAGTATCTCACAAGCGAGAGTGAGAGAGAATTAATCGATCAATACTCATCTTTTGTTGACCTCTATTAATTTTCATAGAGAAAAATATAGAGGAAAATATTTTGGTGTTGATGAGTAAGTACGATATTGTTCGTGCTAATCCCATATGTGAAGAGAATACCCAATAAGAATTGAGTGGAATTTTGAGAAACTTTAGTTGGAATAATATAATTTGTGGAATATTGAAGCAAGAATTTCATATTGAGACAAAGGAGAATATAATCTCTTTTTTCATAATTTAGGGTTCAGAACATTTGCTTGTGATAGGTCAATTCAATGGCTTGGCTGCTCAGAAAAATTAAAACGGATCTTCTCAGAGAATACTTCTTACTTCTTATGGTTGGCTAATAAATTTGTCAACTCTTATTTATACCCATCAACATAAAGTAGACTTTGTTAATGGTAAAAACTTAAACTTTACATGAAAATCAAACCAAACTACTTTAATTTGGATTTGTCCCTTTAGTTTGGGTTGTGGGTTGGATTTAATTTGACAGAATTGAAATTGGGTTGTGGAAAAGGATGGAAATTTGGAATTGAAATGGACAGTATGGCATATTCACCAGAATCCCCTGTAATAAAGAATGGAAAAGTTTGATGGGGTGAGATTGGAAATAAAGGGAGAGAAAAAGAAAGAAAATATAAATTTGCAAGTCATAAAGATTTTTGGTAAAGCAAAGCACATAGCTTTCTCAATTCAACCCCAAAACGTGCTTTTGTATTTTGTGTCCTTTTATTTAACCTCAACGGCAGAGAAAACACAGGTCAAATCCTCAATGCTCAACAAGCTGCCTTCTCTCTCTCTCTCTCTCTTTCTCTCTGCTCTTTTGGCGGCCATGAACAACAAAAACCAGAGGACTTGTAAAACTCTCAAACCCAGCTTTCTCATTCCCTCCCTTTATCCATTCCCTCTGATGAAACTCCATTAGACCTGTTTTTTTCTCTCGGTATTCGTGTTCTTCCCTCAACTTTTCCTAAAGCCCATTTCATTTCAGTTCTCTCTCAAAAGGAGAGGATTGGATACAGCTACAGAGGGGCTTGTTTGAGATCTGGGTTTTGTGTATTCACTTCTGTTTTGGCACTTTTTGGGGTCTGTTTGCCTGGTTTCAAGCTTTGTGTGGTGGTGGGGGATTGGGATCTGAAGACTGTCAAATGGGTAGTAAATGGAGGAAAATGAAGGTGGCTCTTGGTATGAATCTCTGTGTTTTTGTTCCCAAAACACTGGAGGACTCTTCCCCTTCGCCTGATTCTGATTCCACCGAGAGATTTTCTGATGCTGCCCTTCTTTCTCCTGCGCATTGGGGCTCCTCTCGCCCTTCAACCCCAACCCCTTCCTCTCATGGCTTCACTTTCTCCAAAAGTGGCAGTAAATCTTCAAAGGTCTGTTTGGTTTTTTGCCTTTGTTTTGTTTTCTATGCACTCAAAATCCTGATTCTCTATGCTGAGTTTTATTGGCTTTGTTTCCTTCTGAGCATAAAGTAAAGTTATGGATCTTGAACCTTTTTCCCCCCCAATTCTTTAGTTTTTCACTGGATGGAATACTGTGGTTTTTAGAAAGGCCATATGAACTTGAGTGGAGTGGAGGTTTGTCTTTTTTATTCATTTGGTTTTTTTTTCTTCTCTTGTTGATATGTATACTGTTGTTGAAGAAACTAAGAAGGGAAAGCAGAGAGGAAGAAGAGATTTTAATTTCCTTGTTTATACTTTGGAATCTTGCAAATGGGAAGAGAGAATCCATTGAGACAGAAATCAACTTTTGAGTTTATTGTTTTAGTTCTTGTTGTGGGTACCTATATATCAGAACTTTTGCCATTTTTTTTATTGTTTCTTTGAGACTCAAATTGATCTCTTCTTCAAATCCTCATTTCAATGGGTGGGGTCACAGAGGGGAAGACAAAAGTGGTGATTTTAGTCCAAAGAGGGCATTGGATATTAATAGAATGTAAACCAAAAAGAAGGTTGAAGGAAAAATGTCATTAAATTGAAGATGGGCTTTTGACAGGCACCCTTAACGTTCGTTTCGTGTTTTCCCGGAAATCTTAAAATCGAAAAAAGAGACAACCCACATAAATCATACAAATAAGAAGTTTTCAAATAGGGATCTCATCTTGGGAATATTGGAACACAAAGATTGCAGAGATCTTTTTTCCTTGAAATTCTTATGATATGATGAGAGAAAAAATTACAGGCTACAGCTCTATGATTTTTCTCCTAGTAGGAATCCATTTAAATGAGTTTCTTCCTATAAAATCATCTCTCATGTTCCTCAGTTTTCTAATCTCTGTTTTTCATTTTTTGCTCTGGTATATATGATTAGGAAGAGTCTAGTTTATTATCAAACTTGTTTTTTGTCTGCTAAATATCATACATAAGGAATTACTGAGGAGTGGCTGTATTCTAATATTGTGCACCATCCCGGCTGCTCGGTTCTTCATTTTGTGGTGTTATTTCTAGATTTTGAATCATGTTATTTCTAGAAATGTCTTGAATGTAGTGAGATTTCCATTTTGTGGATGATCATCAAATTTATTGCTGAAAACAAAATGATTGTGTATTTGATACGTTGCTACCGCTACTGAATTTATTTGACTGATATCTGCGATCTTTGACATGTGCAGCAAACGTGCTCGATTTGTTTGACGAAGATGAAACAAGGAGGTGGACTTGCCATTTTTACTGCTGAATGCTCGCATTCCTTTCATTTTCACTGTGTTGTGTCGAATGTTAAACATGGCAATCAAATATGTCCAGTTTGCAGAGCAAAATGGAAAGAAATCCCTGTGCAAGGTCCCAATTTGGACCCTCCTCGTGGAAGAACATCAGTTGGTCCTACTGGCTGGAATCAGAATAATGCTTTAATGACTGTTGTTCGACGATTACCTCCGCCTCGAAGGGATTTGAGTCGGCGTCTCATCGTTCCCCTATGTCAGGCTCCCGAGCCAGGTGTGTTCGACGATGATGAATTGTTAGGTAACCAGACTATTTGTGCTGAAAGTTCTTGCAACAGAAATGGTGAAGATGTTGACTCCAATAAAATAATAGAGATGAAAACATATCCAGAGATCTCTGCTGCTCCAAAGTCCAAATCCTATGATGATTTCGCTGTACTCGTCCATCTTAAAGCGGCTGCTTCGGTTAAGAGACAGAGTTGTACTGGAAACCAGGCTAGTTTGCCTCAATTTTCTCTGACTCCCCGTGCTCCAGTCGATTTAGTAACAGTTCTTGACATCAGCGGTAGCATGGCGGGTACTAAACTTGCATTGCTAAAACGAGCAATGGGATTTGTGATACAGAATCTTAGCTCCAGTGACAGGCTCTCTGTAATTGCCTTCTCTTCAACAGCCCGCCGCCTCTTTCCTCTTCGTCAGATGAATGACACGGGTCGCCAACAGGCCTTGCAGGCTGTCAATTCTTTAGTTGCAAATGGTGGAACCAATATTGCTGAAGGTCTAAGAAAGGGTGCTAAGGTGATGGAAGATCGAAGGGAAAAGAATGCTGTTTCGAGTATAATACTGTTGTCGGATGGCCAGGACACGTACACGGTCAGTGGTTCGGGGGTTAACCAATCACAACCAAATTACCAGTTGCTTCTCCCTTTGTCAATGCATGCTAAGGACGAATCCGGATTCCAGATTCCAGTTCACTCTTTTGGATTTGGTGCAGATCATGACGCTTCCTCTATGCACTCGATTTCTGAGATATCTGGGGGAACCTTTTCGTTCATTGAGACTGAAGCTGCAATCCAGGATGCATTTGCGCAGTGCATTGGGGGGCTTTTAAGCGTCGTGTTGCAGGAACTACAAGTAGCAATTGAATGTGTGCACCCAAATATCCATCTTGGATCACTAAAAGCTGGAAGCTACCCAAGTCGTCTGATGGTTGGCGGACGCGCAGGACTTATTGATGTCGGAGACTTGTATGCTGATGAAGAGAGAGACTTTCTGGTCTCAGTCAATGTCCCTGTAGAGCCTTCCATAAATTCAACACCGCTGCTAAAAGTTCGATGTGTTTACAGGGATCCCATCACCAAACAAACAACGACGCTGGAGAGCGACGAAGTTAGGATCGAGAGAACCGAGATGGGAGGACAAGGGGTAGTGTCTGTGGAAGTGGACTGCCAATGTAACCGCCTCCAAGCAGCCGAGGCAATGGCGCAGGCAAGAATTGCAGCTGAACAGGGGGACTTAGCTGGTGCAGTTGCCATACTTGAGAAGTGTAGGATGGCGTTATCGCAAACCGTGTCTGCTAAATCCCACGACAGACTGTGTGTTGCCTTAGATGCTGAGCTCAAGGAAATGCAAGAGAGGATGGCGAGCAGGCACGTATACGAGGCATCAGGAAGAGCGTACATTCTTTCAGGACTAAGCTCACATTCTTGGCAAAGAGCAACAGCAAGAGGCGACTCAACTGATAGCTCAAGTCTCGTCCAGTCCTATCAAACCCCATCGATGCTCG